CTTCGCCACTAATAATTCAAAGTCGCGTGCACGCGTAAAAGTGCCGAATGTCTTTTTTCTTCTTCTTTTTTTTTTTTTTTGCACGTCGAGGTGCGCGCGATCGCTTGCCACGGAAACACCGCCAATTACGCGAATCGATGCGTAATGTCACGGCGATCGTTATTGACGCACGGCGGCGATATTACCTGGCTGCGTGTGCGCGTGTGCTCGTCCGTCGGTGTGCGCACACGTGCCGTCGAAGCCACGGAGGTCTCGGCGGCTTGCATTGTATCGACTCTATCTACTCTCTCTCTCTCTCTCTCTCTCTCTTTCTCTCTCTCTTTCTCTCTCTCTCTCTCTCTCCATCTAGACCCGTCCCATTCGCCTTTGGCGTTTTCCCTCCGATATCCGCATTGCGGCTCTGGTCCACTATTTTTGCCGTCATTAATTCAAGCGGTCGTCCTTAGGTAAACTTATTGAATTTGTGCCCGCTACCGGTGGGTTATTCATCCGGAATTTCGGAATGGACGTAATCAAGGGAAAAATGACATGAAAGGGAGACATAAAGAAAGAAAGAAAGAAAGAAAGAAAGAAAGAGAGAGAGAGAGAGAGAGAGAGAAATAGAATCGCTTACGCACGGGTGGTGGTCGAGGAGGATGAGGTTAGCGCTAGCGGAGCATCGGGTCTTTGTAATTATCAAGGTGCAATTTTGTGCAGGTGTTTGCGTGGCTGGATAAATAAACTCGGCGATGTCAGTAACGGAAATAATTTTTATTCAAGGACAGTAATAGAAACTCGATCTTTAACGATAATTGGCCGGGCTCGTTTCAGTTAGGTCTGAAGGAGCAGGGCGACCCCGGCGAGCGTCCATTTGGCCGGCTTGTCTTTGGTTTTCAAATTGAAAGTCCAGACGTAGGTCGGACCTCGGGTTCGGGTCTTATAAACCGGGCACTCGTACATGTTTCTCAAGTCCTGCTTGTCCTGAGTGATAGCTCTGACGTTGATAACGGGCATTGCCGGGAAAAGCTCCTTTGGACGGGAGTCTACGATGATACCTGCTTGAGCTTCCCATCTCGCGCCTTCCATGAAAATTCCATGAACGTAAGCCCCTTCGCGTGGCGCCGACCTGTGAATTTCATATGCTTTTATTATCTGTGTGAAAGCATATGGAGCGCGCCTCCTCTCTCTAGTGTATTATATTAAAAACAAAAGAAAAACAAACACAAAAAAAAACAAAAAAAAAAAAAAAAAAAAAAAAAAAAAAAAAAAGAATGACAGAATAAAGATTATTCAAATAATTTGCTTTGATAATATCAATTGATGTAAAAAATATTTTCTCCTTATGTATATTACAAATCAATGCATTTACCGGTACTTCTTTTGTTACAATAAATATCATTGTGATCTCGTGTTATTTATTGATAAATATGTTTTGCAGAAAATGCCTGTTTATTCGTTTGTTGTACCATATATTTCGAGAGAATCGGTCAAATAAATTTTCAACGAGTTAATGACTCGAGAGTAAACATCCTAATCCTCGAATGTCGAAATAAATGTACTAGTCAGCTCTCTTTCTTCTGAAGATATTAATGTAATAATTTTCTTACTTTAAGCTTATGAGATTATGGGTAAGCATTTTTGCAAGATTCGCTTATCAATGATATTGTAATATGAGTAATTTACGACCGAGGATCCTTAAGCAATAAAGGTCCCATACGATTCCATTATCTTCGTGATTTACAACAAATGTACTGGCATATCTTGCAGAAATTATAATCAGAACTGCTATTATGCACCCGTTGTTAAGTTATTGATATTTTATCCTAATAGTGCCAAATATTGTACAATATTATCAAAGCAGTGCCTCATCGGCAATAGATGTCACTCATTGACGTAAATTAAAAAAAAGTTTTTAAACACCGTTTTCGATCCATTAAATCGGAGATTAACAGCCACTTGAGAAGAATCAAATCGGTAAACAATCGAATACAACCATATTGGCAACTTTTCAATACTCAACAATTCGATGTATCGATCTTTTAAAATGACAAGATAATAATAGTAGTCGTGGTCGGGGCAAGGGGACTTTTAGAATTTTCAAGCTCAAATACCTCGTTAAACCCGTATAATTCTGGAAATATTTTACAACGTATTTTACAAGGTCAATTTATCTCTAATAAATTAGTAATCACGAGTCGTATGAATGGCAAACGATCCAACGTCATTTAATTATCACGGAAAACTTGATCGAACGAAAGAAAACATCGACTATGTTCGGCCTTGCTCCGGTTTCAACAAAAGAAAAGAAAAAAAAAAAAACAATCGCGACCGACTCGAGCGCAACCATGGACAATTCGCTCACGTAAACTCCTCTTTGTTCTTCTTCGTAACGTCGCACTGCAAGCACATCTTATCAAGTGGAAGTTCGCATCGGCGCGCAGTCGATTGCATTATTGCCGTAAGGAAGGACTGCGGATTGAAGAAGCCCGCGAGCCAGACGGAGGCCGGCAGCTGAAAGAAGGTAAAATTTTCAATTAATAGTGGGTGCCGATCGGTTTGCGATAACGCCACTGGCAGCCTACCACAAAGTCCGTGGACCAGGTCTCCAATTCGCGCAGCCTCGACAATAAGTCGACGAACCAGGACGTCAAGCCGAGGAGGGAGGGATAGGCCCTTTGAGACCAAGTCTGCGGCACTTGATCAAGAAACAGCGACGTTTCCAAGTTCTCCATATCTAATGTGATCGTCAGCTCCCCTTTCAAGCCGAGATCCAATTCTCGAAGCGATCTTTTGATCTCGCTAGTAAGGTAGTTCATCCTCTCGCACTCTTGAAAAGCAACGATGACGTAAGGCGTTCTCTCTTCAACTTTGCTCATGACTTCAACCATGTTGAATTCTTCTGGCAGCTTCTCTAAGATCTCGTCTAATACTTGCTTAACCTTCATCACGTGGAGATGTAAATTGTAAGTGAGTTATAATCTTTTGAAATTCAGATTTAAAGTTCGCCGTCCAATTATCGTCATTCATTAAGATTTCCCATTAATTTTAAAGAGCTTAAACGCACTTGGGTAATTGGACTATGGATAAGGATGTACGCGTTACTTGCGATTAACATGTAATTGTAAGGGGAGCAGCAGTGGGATATTTATGCGATCGTGCCAATTTTTTTTTTAATTTTTTTAATTTTTTTAATTTTTTTATATGCAAGTTCATGTTAACGAGCAACGATAGTTGAATTGCATCGCTTGAGAGCATCATTACATCGCCAAGCAATTCAGACTGCGAAAGAAGCGAGAAGAATCGGCAAAACAAACGCCAAGCAAACGAACAAACAAATCTCTCACCTTATCCTCCCTCGTAATAGCTTGACCACCAGAGTTCCCGGCATCTCTAGGCTGCATTTCGAAGACGGTCCTAAATAAATTCTCCGATGTTGTCGTTAAAAATCCTATTTCCGCATTGGGATGTAAGCCGTACAAGTAGGGGGTTTCCGGTGGTAAAGCTTCGTCGATGTAAGTGTGAAAACCAAGCAAATCGGTATTTGGAGGTGCGGCAAAACCTGCGCAAAAAGCGTTATTATAAACATTAGCGTCTAAATGTGCGCGCCGAGTAGTGAAATCATTAATAAGGGTTGAATTTAAGGCAAAGTACCTGGAGCAAGTTGCAGCTCCCCGTCTACGAGATCTGGCTGCATTAGCTCCTCCAAGTATGAAACGCAAAGCCGACGATCCCAGTCATCGGTTATGTGGCCCCCGTACATTATTTCGCCAAAAAGATATCTAAGATCTTCCCAAGGAATTTTGGAACTTGCCTCCAAGTAGTTATGTAGGACGCTTACGCTTATATTCAAGTCTCCGACATTAAAAGGATATATTTTGTTCCAGCCTTGAGCTCCGAATTTTCTGCGTTCGGCTACGACGGCGTGGAAATAGCAAAGTGAAAATACAATGGCCTTAAATTCGGCCTCCTTCGTGCACATTTCTAAAGTTTCTTGGGTAAAATTGTCCAAAGCTTTATGTAAATTTGCCTGCATCCCCGTTGGCGGCTCATTTGTAATTTTAATCGACGACTCTAAAATTCCCTGCAAAATTCCGGCACAATATATACACAAGCATTTAACCATCGTCCAGCTAAAACAGTTTAAATACAACGACGACGACGACGACGACGACGACGACGACGACGACAATAACAAACAAGGAACAACAACAACAACAAGCAACAAGCAACAACAAGCAACAACAACAACAAGAAGCAACAACAACAACAATAACAAGCAACAAGCAACAACAACAAGCAACGATAATTGACAAGGACAAACGACAAGCATAAAAGTGCAAATGTAACCTGTGGAATAATGTGTCCGGCCGGGGTGCTCGCTGGTTCGGCGCTCATGAAAATTCGATAATCCGCGGATGAGCCCTCCGACGCCATTTCTAGCTTTTTCTCTAACAATGGCAGCCACTTCTTGACCAAATGGATGTTTTGCAGAATAACCCAGTGACCTTTCTTCGACGCCACGTCCATCGCCAATTCCGCGACGTTCTCTTGACCCTGGCCCAGCGACACGTTATGAAAATTCCGCGCGTCCAAGGTAAATCCCAAGCGTTTTCCCAAAGCCTCCACATCCTGCGCAATCGTCAAACTGCAAAATAATTGACCAACAAGTGGACGTGCGTTACGTAATTAGTTCCTTCACCTTCAACGGATTCACACCCGGGGAGAGAATGAAAAATATGGGGGTCGTCGGGCTCGTTTCCTCGAAGGACTTTGCGAACTCGACGGTCCGTCCCTCGACGTATCGTGGCCCCAATTTCTCCTCTATAAAGGCGACAATTGCATATGTCATCCGGTCGGGACGCAGAGCCCTCAGCATGCAAAGACGCTGGAGCGCCGTTTTATTTTTCCATTCCTGGGGAAACTTCTCGCGCTCCGGGCACTCGCACTCCACCAATTTCTTCCAGCGCTTCGGGGAGCTCTCGATATCCCGGTCCAAATTCCTGAAATTATGGCGTTCACGTAACGGGACGAGAAGGGGCCCGGAAATCAATGCCTGGCTCGGTTACTTGCCGAAATTCGTCTCTGGAGGCCAGGCTGCGTATGCCGCCCCAGCTCGCGTTCGTCAGAAAATCAACGGGCGACGTGACATGGGGCGTAATGGGGAAGCGCAGGAGAAAGTCGAGCTCCGCGGCGGATATCTCGTGGCGCGCGAGGAGAATCTGAAAGGCCATCTGCGAGGCGAAAATCAGCTTGTCGCACTGCTCTCAGAGGGGCCCCGCGACGTGTACAGGAAGACCGAGTAGCTGATGCACTCGATGAGGTTGAGGACACGGGCGCCGACCTCCGATGCCGGCTCTGCTCTCAGGATCGCCTTCTGGAATACGACGCTGAAGGCCTTCAGCGAGAACTGATAGATGGGATTTATGGTGTTGAGGTCGTTTAGGATAAAGTAGAGGAGGGAGGCTCTCGCGGCCGCAGGTCGATAGAGTTCCCGTGCCGCGTCGATCTCTCGGGAGGTACCTCGCGCCTCCCTCACCTTGCACTCGATTTCCGCGGCTGTCCTCTTCGTTGTCTCCAGGTTTTCCACGAGAGCCGTGTCGCCAAGGACGTTGTTGCCGGCGGAGAACAGCCTGCTCGTCAATGCTTTTATCAACGATTCATCGAACTCGATGGCGCTTCTTGCTTTCTTATTTGTTTTTGTTTTTTTGAATTTTTTCAATTTTTTCATTTCATTTACCGAGAGCCACGAGAAAAATCGAACTTAATTGGCTTTAAACCGCATAACGAAAAGGGTTATCGACTTTTTATGGGCAATCCACGTGGCTTTAGGACTTTGCGTACAATGTCATTGTGGTGACGGTAATACGAGGAAAGTTTGCAAGGAGATAATGCAAATTGACGGGCTTGTTAATTTGAATGAACTCAGTGCGTTAGATTGCTTGTCAGTGAGTAATTAAGTGGAATATTGCAAGCTATTTGGGTAAATGATCGAGCGGGACGTTCGATCGAGAGGACGTGGGATTATCAAATACAATCGACATCAGCGACGTCTTTGTGCCAATTTATTCGACGAATTAATTTATCCGGTAATAAAAAGATAATATGTCGCAAAGACATTAATAAATCTTGTCGGGATTGACCAATTATAAATAACGATTTAATCGTACGATCGATCGAGTGAGAATTTATATAAAATGCGTGATATGAATATTATTATTTTATTTACTTTCGTTATAAGAACGGAATAGCTATATACATTGAGGTTGAATTAGACTAGTAGAGAAGAATAGGTAATTGGAACAATTGAGGAGCGTCCATGGGCACATGAAAGATCAAGATATGAAAGGTAAAGTCGGAGCCCCAAAGTCGTTGATGATGGAAATGATACGTGCATGGATGCAAAATCGGTTCTGTAATTTTATTCTTCATGGTAAATTTGTATGTCAGTTAAGAGTGTCGTAACGTCAAAGATTTTATTGATAAACGAAACGCGAGGAAATAATTATTTTTGAATCATTGCACTTAAGTTATGGGATCGACCATTATTTCCATTCTCCGATTTACTTCGAGTTTTCTCAGTGGATTATTCGTTTTTTGAATTACATTATTTGTAGATTTATTTTAATTAGCTGGCCCTCTCCCCTCCCCCTCCCCCTCCCCCATCCCCTTCCCACCCGGCCCTTCTCTCGATAAATCGATCGATCGATTCTCTTCACCCATTGCTATTTATTTACCTTGCGTCTTCATTAAATATTACGCTGATTAAGAAGCTACAATTATTTTAATCAATTATTTAAAAAAAAAATTTTTTTTTTTATTTGCTTGTTTTGTTTGTCATTGTTCCATTCGGATAGCTAAGTTAACGCGTTAATTTATTTAGACATAGCGGCCTCATCTAAGACACAAAGTAAGAGGAAATATCGAAATTTTATACAAACTTTGAGAGGAGCGAGTCTTCAAGGGTATTCAAAGTAATTTTAAAATCGTTTTGCTGTCTCGTTAAATCCGCCTTTAATTCCTCCAAGTCCGGACGCTCAGCTTTAACCACCTCCGCAAGAAGTTGGTCTTCTAATCCATCTCGAGTCACAGTGAAATTAATCAATGTTGTCTGAGCTTGCATTTCAGGTTTATAATGAGGATTCGCCAGTTTCGTGTGTAGAATCAAGCGAAAGTCTGGATTATATTCAACCTCTTTGTCGCCGATTTTCAAGGCACGGCCTTTTTTAATTAAATTACGACCGAGGAGTGAATCGAGCACGGGATCGACGACTTCTCCGATATTCTCGACGAGGACCGTAGCGCCAATCGATAAAGATTGTTCAATAATATCCAAGTATCCGCGCTGCCCTAAGCGAATTATCCGCAGTTTATCGTCGTACTTTTGCTTTATCCATTTTATTCCTTGAAGCTTAAACAAGCAACAGTGTGTTACTTAATTGACCATTATTAATATATTGATTAATCAAGATATGTGCGGGTTGTAGAAAAAGTAGAGTGTCGTTTATACCGAAGTTGCTTTAAGAGGTGTGAAAAGAGAAAAGAAAACAGAAAACAGAAAACAGAAAAAAGAAAACAGAAAACAGAAAAGAAAAAAGTGACACGAAGGGATGAGAAACGAGTAATACGAAACGACATTATGAAACAATTCACTATGAAATATATAGTTGTAAGAAGAAATTTCATGATGAATTATCGCTTTAAATTCATTTGTTACTTGGGGATCGATCATAAGTGGCCAGCGATCCGAATTTGTCAATATGGTTGCGTTCTCTGTTGACATCCTATCGTTCGGTAGGCCCTCGTTGTTCCATTTCGCTATTTGAGTATCGTCCGTTAATAATGTTAGTGGATCGAGGCCATTGGTAATAGGAACGTGGGGCTCGGCGTTGTGCAAAAAAGGTAGCCATTGCTTGTTTAAGAGATCCAGTCGAAACTGCTTGGTGAAACATCCGACATACGAGATGAAAGCAGTTACTAGTAAGACATCACCAGGCAACGTCGACGACTGTTGCATGAGGCTGAAATTGAAAAGATATCTTCGATTGCTCTAATGGGCTCTAGCGCTACGGTAAATGATACTATGAAATGAGCGGTACTTTGCTACGGAGTCCGCCCAGCGAATATTTTCCGAAGCTAATCCGCCAACTAGACGATTCGCTAGAGCGATTATTGCATTGGTCGCGTCAGCTTCCCGTTGACACTTGATCTTTTCCGTGGTTGCTTGTTCAAAATCCGCTGTCAATTTGGCTAATTGATCCTCCAAGGACTGCGAATTTAATGATATAGGGGTGCGTTAAAATCTCTAGGCCGATGTTTACGTTCATAAAAATTCATTAAAAACGACAACCACGACAACAAGAATAACAATGCATTTCCTTGTAATTGTCATGTGCTTAGGATTTACAAGTATAGATCGTTACGGTGTACGGTATTGCATCTTACTCACGCAAACTTTGCGCTTTATCACGCTTAATTTTTCTTGCGCAGCAGCTAAATCGGCATTGGCTTGAGCCAATGCTCTACGTTTCGGCTCGACGTCGCAAAAAACTTCGTAAAATTTAATAATGTTTATGACCCAGGCGCACAAGCCGGCCGCAGCTGCTGACTTGGATCTAACGAATTCGGGCTCGAATTCGGAATCCTTGAGATACGGTTGGATGGCTTTTATCACTTCCGGATGAATATTTTCCTTATCGTAATTAATCAGCGCATCTAAGAAGCCATCGACTTTTGCCATAACAATCTGAAATCGTCAATGAAAGAAATGGAATTAATGCTAATTCAATGACAAGCTTCGATCGATTAAAAAATCCCGATTAAAGGATCGATGCAGCGCAATCAGCATAATAGTATATATTAGCGGTATAGAGTAAGAATTATTGATAGTGGGATATGGTACTTTTGCTGCCTTCCAACTGCGATCTTTAGGTACTTTGCCGTTCGCTGCAAGTAGAACCATAACAGCAGCGGTGACATTTGTCACGGCACCGGGTGGCGAGCCGAACGATTTTAATTCCGTAAGATTCGCCTTATTTAACGTATTCAAAGCTTCTTGAGCAGCTAATAAAGCCGGCTCGGCCTTAACTAAATCGGCTTCGCAGTCCTTTTGCTTTTTCAGAACCTCTTCCGCAATTATACCTACTTTTGACTCCTCTTCGTCGGCTAATTTTGAAGAAAAAAGACATAAGCTCGACTGATATTTCTAGGCATTGAAGAAAATTCAATTACCTCAAAATTGTGAGGCTGCACTTACCAAGTGCCTTTTCCTTCTGCACCTTTTCCGTTTCAATGCCAACGATTGCTATAAGCGCGTCGGCTGCTTCATTTTTTTGCTGTAATTCGATTTCCTGGACGGCTAACTTCTCTTTGAGTTCGTCAACTTGAATGGCCGTAGCCTTTAATTTTGCCAAACCGTTTTCCAATCTTTCCACGCGAGCCTTAAGCTGCTTTGCCTTGTTTTTCAGGAGCTTCGAATACAAGCTAATTTGCTCCAAGAACGATTTTGGAGTTGTATAATTGTAACGACGTTCGCTAGCCAAATATTGACGACTAGCGGCATTTACCGTTGTGTGCGCGTGAGACATAAACTTTGCCGCTGAATCGCTGGACGAATGAAACAAAGGATTATCATTATCGTTCGTTGTCCGTTAAGTAAAAAAAAAAAAAAAAAAAAAAAAAAAAAAAAAGAGGAATATTATTTACAGGTAAATTTCTGGTAATTCCGGCAGTTCCTGTAAGAAGCGTTTCGATACGGACATTAGAGCTTCTTGGGGCCATTCGTGGAACCAATTTATAGCTGTGCAATTAATTATGGCGGGGAATTTTCGTGATCGAATTCTTAAGGTTGAGCCAACGGGTGAAAAGCATAGTACTATTCGTAGCTGACGACGTACTCTGTCGATGAAGAATTTCCAACAATTTTCTCGAGTATCTAAAATCCCCGCACCTTTGACTTCGTTGCGTACGCCTGTAAAATTGTGTAAAATTATGTTGATCATTGGAGAAAAATCGATATTTCATCAATGTTTATTGATTGAGAAATTATAATTTGATAAAATTGTGTTTTTAAAATGTCATGAAGAAGCCGTGTAATGGAATTTCATGAAGAACACTGACACAAAAAAAAAAAAATAAAAAAAGAAACGAAAAAAAAAAACAAGCAAACAAATTTTTGTCATTTCATGAACTTTTGAATATTAGATTTTTAGCGAACAATCGACAACGTGAAAAATTGCTCGAATCCCAATCACATTAAATGAAGTTTGATATTTTTGATAAATAAGAATGGGATTTTTATGCTTAAAAATGGTAAATTATTATATTTACTTATGCATTTGGATGGTGCTATTATTATTTTCTGTATTTACCTACTGACATAGTGTTTATTTATAAAAGGGAGGCGCATCGATGCCGATGCATAATAATAATAATAATAATAATAATAATAATAATAATAATAACAACAACAACAAATTATTTCACACAAGCATTATGATTATTCGTACCAGCAATGATATTCTCAACCTCGTCCTCGGGGAATAAATCCGGAATTTCTCCGGAAGCAAGCATGTCATTAATTAATACGAGAAAATGTTCATTCGACACTTGTGCGTCTGTCATCAGGAACATTATTCCCAAATTTTTCAGCCCAGCCTTGGAATAAAGTGACGCAAGCTCTAATTTAAGATCCAACGTACTGTAACCTTTGCGCAATTGGACTTGGAACACTTCCAACGAGCTTATAAAGGCTGCTAAGCGCGAAAGACTTTGTTTTCCGGAACCACCTACACCGACGAGGAGTGCACTTCCACGTGGAGATTCCAAAATCCGATTTATTCTGCATACGTGCATCATGGCATCTTCGAAAAGTACGAGATTCATGGCCGAGACCAAATCATTGTAACTAATAAGGGATTCCGTTAATAAACGATGTAAAGTCGTCCATTCTTTAATCGGCATATATTTCGGCTCCCCAACTCCACCTGAAATCATTTCCATTCTCGTAACGTATCGTTTTATCAATCGCTGAATCATGGCGAAATAATATAGGGAAATTGAAACGATGACTGACTTGCAAAGTGGCAATAAATATTTGGCTTTTCAAAAATTGCAATATCGTCAATTTCCTCGAAATTTTTCTTTAACATATCCAGCTGTATCTTGCCAAATGTCTCGATGTCTTTGTCGTCCGTGAGCTTGTCGCTGTAAACGCGTTGCGACTCGTGTATCCACAGTCGAACAAAGTCCTTTGGCGCCTGGAGGCAATCGTTACCGCTAAACAGCAAACCCTGAAAGCAATTTGACAAATCTCGCAGATTAAAGATATAATGGAATTTCGTGGCCGTGGGGAGAAAAACTTGAGTGCACCGATGGTGTAATTGCAATGACGCTTGTACGATATTTTCAGCAAGCTCGACAATGCTGAGAGGAAATCTAAAAGTGCGAAGCGCAGCATTGCATTATTGTTAAAGAAAATGGATCTTAAGTGACTTAAGTTTCATGTACCTGTGCTCCAAATTTGACAAGTGATGGGCGAGAATGGACGAGTAAATCGTCGTAAGTGACTCCGAGTTGGGAAAGTTAATGGCGAAAACGGCAAAATGCCTCTGAAGTCGTGGATTTATCGTAAACGAGCCCGCGGTCGGATTCATGCAGCTCACGTATTGACAATTGTGAATGTCCTTGAGCGTTAATTTTGTTCTATCGTACCAATGCGAATAGTCCAAGTGTTGTCGTATAAGCGTATGAGGCTGTACGGTCCCGTAATAATCGACTTCCGGCATGTTCATATCATCGATAAAATATATCATTGTCTTGTTCCCAGGCGGGCCATAATTCTTGCCAGCCTTCTTCTCCAGAGGTTTCTCTAAGATTTTTTGCAGCATCTCCGAAGTGGTATAAAAATTGAACGGGACGTTTGTCACAACGTAGTTCTCCGAGAGCTGCAGGAGTTTTTCAGCGACTAAGACGCTCTTACCGGAGCCCGCTGGACCGACCAACATTATAGGATGTTGCTCCGCCATAAATAAATCCAAGAAATATCGTATGCGAATCGTCTCTGCCGTATGAACTAGCACCGCCTGCAAAGGAATATCGGGATCGAGCTCGAATCGCGTTAAGCGCTCTCTCCAGGGGACGAAGCTTTTCGTCTCCGAGTCAATGTAATAGTCGAATACTGTGCCTTGGGCAGGAAATTTTACTTGCTTAAATTCGTTCACCCACCATTTGCTGAATTCAACCTGATAGTCGATCGTCTGATCTTGAAACATGGCCGAGCCAAACGCCCAAACGGCCGAGAAGACAAAGTACAATTCGTAATGGTCCTTTGCAAAATCAGTATCTGTCAATTCTGGGATTAGCAGGCAACTCAACAGATGACAAAGCATCTGAATGTGCGCCATGTCGGCAATTGGTGTGATCTTTTTGAATCTCGTGCGCAAGGTCTCCAAGCACGTGGGGATATATTTGTCGAAGAGAATAACGAGATTTGACTTTTCCGATGGGGCTTTTCTAGTCTCGATCCAACTCGTCACGTAAGGATTCCACCCCAAGTCTTGAGGATTGATGTACAAAATGCCGGCGCGCGACACCGTGGCAGGCGTGGCCGTGCGTAAATTCGATATTTCAAAAATTAATCTCATCGACGGTGTTAGTCCGATTCTTTCGTTGCTGGCAAGTGTCAACACTTTATTATCGTCCATAACGGTGTTTAAGGACTCGATCCACATCGGATCTATATCCCCATCTAGAATTATCCATTTTGGATTGTCGCCACCGTAATTTGCCTGCTCTCTCATTAGCACGGAGAACAAACCGTCTTTCCACTCGCGAGTTGCCGGATTTATTATGCCGAATAATTCATCGTTGGTCACGGCCTTTGGATTAAGATCGTTAAATATTGGCTTTCTCTTGATATTTTGATAGGTTCGGAAAAGCGTTTTCCAAACTTGCGTCTTGCCCGAGCCGGCGCTACCAACGATAAATACCGAGTGCCGCACCTCCAGTAGCTCCTCCAATTGCACGACTTTCAAAATAAAAGCATCTTCGGGTTGAAGTAGGAGATCCGTTGCCGCCACTTTAACCGTTTTCTCAAACTCGACATCCCGCTTCCTTGGGACATCGAGGGCAGGGAAAAGATCGGCGATCAGGCCCATAAAGACCGGCAGATCGTCGGATATGACCTTGGGTATGTTAAAATCACGGAGAGCCCGCATTAGAACTTCTTCCTCGGGCCTACCGGGATCGCCACGCTTTAAGCTCCCAGCGACTACTAGAACAGACTTGATAGCCCTCAGTCCCCAATCGTAATGGTCCTGCTTGGACAATAGCTCTTTGCAAAGTGTATAGAGTGTGATGAATTTTCTTGCGAGTAGACGGGCCTCTTGGAATCCCTCCGCTACCAACATAATCTCGCAAATTAATTCGAAATCCGGGACAACCATGGCGCAAGGCCGAAATAGAGCTTTTAAATTTTCCGGGAGTTCGGTACGTCCCGCGTAACCGGGATTCATCGTAATGAAGATGCCGACCGAAGGGACAAGAGCAATGCTGTCGCCCATAAAATTAAAAACCGCTTTCTTATCTTTAATGGCATCCTGAACGGATTTCACTTGCACGGCCACGACCGACAAAACTTCTACGGATATTCTGTTAAATTCGTCAAAGCAGCCCCAAGCACCAGTCTGGGCAAGCCCCTTGTAAATATTCCCACAAGATTTGTAATCCATTTGTTCCGAGCAATTAAATACGTAAACCATTATCCCGAGGGCTCGTCCGAGATCCTTCGTTGTTTCGGTTTTGCCAGTTCCAGCTGGACCAGCGGGACCACCACCCATTACAAGATGAAGCGACTGAGTCAATGTTATGTAGCATCGATCGGTCAATGGAGTAATCACCAATCTGCAACGAGGCATTAGTATTTGCTGATTTAGGGTTGTAATTGATTGGTGTGGATTTATCGATTATTTGTCGTACCTTGGCGTGTTGCCCAAGTACTCGTGAGAGTATTTAAATTGGGCGTCACAAATATTAGCGAAACAGTCCTTTTCCTTATCGTCCCATCTGTGTCGCAATTGACTTTGCCATTGGAAAGCTTGAGATGTTTCCACCTTGGCCTGCACGAGTCTCGAAACGACATCCCGCGAATGAACGTCGATGGTACATATTGTCATGACTTTTTGACGGTCTTGCTTGCTGAGTTCACCAAGCAGCAACGTTATTAAGGTGCTCAATTGAGTTATTTGCTTCTTTAAGTAATCCTTTAATGCATTGTCGTAGCCCTCTTCGAGCCTCGCAAAGGCAAGATTCACTTCGGTGGTCCACCAAATTTGTGTGCCGCACAAGGAAACCTGAGCCGGATAATCGAATAGCCATTGCTCCCGTGCCTTCTCCTCGTACGTAACAACGGCGTCACTGAAGTAATGACGTATTGACGAGCGCATTGCCATTTGTAGACGATTGAGCCAAACTTCTACCGCCCCGTCGCAATGCATCTCGAAATTTACGAATTCAACGTACTCACCATCTTTTGCGTACATTCCTGAAAGACTCACAGTGCCGGAATCAAATAAATATCGACATAATTCTCATAAGATAATTATTACCCATAATTCGTTCTGGCTTAACGTCCCTCTGTGCCTCGTCGAAATTCAGTCGCGCCATCGAATCAAATAATTTCATCAAATGCTTAGCAACGATTCCCGGCTGATTGCCGTTAGATAGTATATCTAATAAATCGGTGGACGATACAAAGTAGAATCTTGGAAAGGCTAATCGTTTCGTTTCCAAATACTCGGCCAGAGCCTTTTCACACAGGACCAACTCTTTCTGAAGAATATCCAAAGTACCGCCAAGGCCGACTCTATTCGTCGCTTCCACGACATTTGGAATTTTCGCCATTTTATGTGACATTTCTTTAAATTGCTGATCGATTCGATCAAACCTCTCGGCATCTATCGGCAATTGCTTCCTTATGTCGTCAGAAGACATGAAAATACTCTCGAGGTGCATCCACGTTCGCTGCACCTCGAACCAAGTTGTTGTTACTTGATCGGCAATGCTGAGTTTCTTCTGCCAATTCGACACTTCCTCCAAAAAATGTGCTATGAACTTGGACGTTATGAGATTCTGAAGCTGAACCTATAAATGATAATTTGCGTTAGAAAATAATTGCCCTATTAGCGGAATAGTCAGTTTTTCTAATGCGTCACCTGATTTTCCTCTAAGGTTTCTATCAATTCTTCACTTGCTCGGAGCAGTATAGCACCCGTTCGCAAATGCGGCTCTTTATCGAATTCCATTCCAGACCACGTGACATTCAATTCTCGTAAATATTTTTCCATCGACATCTCTTTAACCGCCTTATCTACTATATTTTTCACTTCATCCTCGCATTCGTGTAAATTCAATTCTAGCAAGTCGGCCAAAGTGGTGGACTCGTCCATTACGAAGCGCACCTATTTATTTTACGAATTCGCTTTTCTAATTTGTCAATAGCTGTAGCTCAAAGGAATTAGCTTGATAACGCTTGACGATGAACGGTGGTGAATCGTAAGAAATATCATGTGCATGTAAATATTGTATTATATACCTATGCGATCAATAGTAATGACGAGGTGATGTGGAAATGATAATGAATATCTAGCTTTTTTACAATGAATTTTATTATTATAAAAGTTTCATTACATTAAGCGTGTTTAAACATAAAAGTACAATGCTGTAATTATAAAGATGTCGAAGAGACAATCGGTAGTTGATACTATAAATATCTTAATTGTATTGACAATCTATCGTTGTAATGCTCATTTGATATTCATGCAAATAGTGTTAAATGTCGATTATGAGGTGGGGGGGGGGGATGATGTAGGCGTTCAGCGAGTAATCTTATTTTTAATATTTTTTTTTAATAAAAATGTTTTCCATCAATCATTAACGCATATTATTAAAGTAAAAAAAAAAAAAAATATTTATCTTAATATCAATAATTATTCAATGAGTATTGAAAAGGAAATTTATTGCTAGATTAAATGATTGACGAGAGAAAAATAATACGAAAACTTGAAAATACCTGCCGCTGGATCCATATATTACGATATATATTATCTAAAAGCATTTCATACTTTGAAACAATAAATTTGATAAGGAAAAATTTAAATATATTGCAACAGCCTACAAACATTTCTTCTACGTATATTAACAAGTTGAGCATAATGATTGAATCAAATTAAATAAATAATACGCAGTGAATAATTTATTGTTCCATTCATATCTACCAGAATTTAATACTACAATTACCAAAAATACGAATTTTGTTGTTCAATATAATTTTAAATTATAAAAATGCAAACTCTTTGCCGGTAAAAAAGAAAAAGAAAGAAACAATATAAATGAGTTGAGTTAGAATTAGTGTCGCATATTGTCCCGACAACTAATTTGTTTGTAATCACATTGTCTCCGACTTTCTAGCATACGTAAAATGATTGTGCAATGATATTTCTTATAAATATTGCTTACAAAAATAAAAAAAAAAAATAAATAAAAAAGAAAAAAGAAAAAAGAAAAAATACTCGTTACTATAATTATTTAGAAAGAAGAATAAATAAAGAAAAGAATCCACTAGTTGACTAGTATTTTGCAGCATGCCGTTTAATCTAAATGTTTCAAATAGACTTCGAATTAGATATATAATATAATATAACTGACATGAACGTGCCAATTTTAATAAATGTAATAAATATGCCAACGAAAGAAAAATTTGCCCAATTAGAGGTTTTTCGATTATTTTAAAATATCTTAATAATAATGGTGTAAATAAATAAAGTGCTTTTTATATACAGTGAACTTACAGTCATTTCTGGAGTCATGTCGCCCAGTTTCTGTAACATCGACAGCACATATATACAGCAGTGCAACTAACACTAATCCTTATACTTATTAAATATATCTACCAAATTAATGAAGGATCTTTCTATAAATTCCTTTCGTATTTCATTATTTATTAAGAGATTATTGTAAAGAAAATGACGGTATATCGACTGATTATTTATAAAAGCCTTTATTACATTATCGATAATTTTGCAGATACCTTGGTGCTTTTCATTAATTGTAGCCAGTGTCGCTCGCGTATTGCAGGATTTTGAAGTTCTCCCACGGCTCTAAGAGATGTCAACATATTTTTCACGGTCGCCTCGAGGCAAACGTAAGTGTCCCAAGTGCGCATTTCCTTATCCAATGCTTATATATATATATATATATATATATATATATATATATATATACATACATTTTATTGGAATGTACGAATGTACGATGAGAAAGAAATGAGAAAGAAACAAAGAAAGGAAAAAATTACAAAGCCATTAATTTACTCGTTTAATCATTATCATTGATAAGTAAAGGAAAGGAATGAAAAAAAAAAACATAACAACAACAACAAAATAATAAACAAACAAAACCTTACCACGTATATCTTTGGAAAATTTTTTACACTCTATATCCATATTTTCTACGTCAATTTTTCTCCACGGCGTTATTTTCCAGCCTTCGATGCAGCTCTCGACAATATTCACATAATCCCATAATTGTTTAAGCATTTTCAATTCCTTTCTACATTGCTTGAGCTGCTTGAATTCTGGAACAATCACTTCGAATAACGAAGCCGACTCCTGTATGTCATTCATTTGCCTTTCGAGCATTGAAATTTCCTTGTGAGCTTCATCCAAGTGGACGTACGACTTTTTGCAGTCGAACTTAAAAAATTCATAGCGCTTAAATGCTTCGCGATATTGAATAATTATCGTGTCGAAAGCTGATATTCGACCTCGTATTCTGGCAACCTCACCTAAAAGCCATTCGTCATGCTGCACTTTATATGGTTTATCAAATCAATTAAGTCGATACGTTTGATCCGTGATATTACCGGCTTGAAGTGGAGCGACTTGCTGCTTTACCGTAATCGCAATTTTCTTCGTATTGGCCCACTGATCGGGAAGCTCTTGGAGAAGGACGTTCACTTCTTCCGGTATGTCCTGGTCGTAAAATTTCAAGAGTTCGATGGTTTCTTCCAAGGGATGAAACAGCTCGTCGGTGATCGGCTGACGTTCCTTAACTTGCATCAAAAATCCCATTACGCTCACGAGCCCGGCGTAATCGCCCGGTTGTATTTGCTGAAGCAGGCCTTCGTCGGCCAACCTTAAAAAATTACATCGCTCCGATTTATCAACGAGTCGCGCAATTTGCTTCAATGTAGAAGGACGATACATGAATTGAATGAACGTCGATGGATTTACAAATGAGAAAGTGAAATATACGCGCCCTTGATTACTCTCGATTACCGTATGAATGTGCCGAGGTCCGTGAGACTCGTTATAACTCGCTCCATTAAATGCTTTTTAAACATGCTCGACCACTTGCAAATTGTATTTAAAAGCGATTGGCGGAATGGCTTCAAATTTACGCGAAACCAAACGGAGAATATCTTTGATGTGCTCATTTCCTCGACCTCGTTATAAAGACTCTCGTAATGATCTATCTGTTCGCGAAATTGGTCCATTTTAGGGGGACAGCGTTTCGGAGATTTCGGATCGAAAACGACGATCATGTCCATCTCCTCTATGGACAATTGACGGCTGTAATCTAAAAATTGCTGCATAGCAATTTCTCTGTCCTCTAGCCAAAGGTAGGCGTAACCTACAGCATTCAAAGACGTTGACTAAGATTATTATTAAAATATTATTATTTGGCCTTTGCCTTTATTTTTACAAATAAGATCCTTCAACAACAACAACAACAACAAATAATAACAAAAAAAATAAAAAAAATAAAAAAAAAATAAAAAAAAATATGCCTTACCTTCGAAAATCCCACAATAATCGCTAGCTTCGTCGATGGCTTTGTTAATTCCCGTTAAGATTTCGCATTTCATCGTACGTATGTCATCGTCCTTTTCCAGCTCTTCCGCGTATCCTTCCCCGTCGGACTTTAATCTCGGCACGAGAGTCGCCATACCGATAATGTCATCCAATAAACTGCTTATCAATTGGTCTAAGCCCTCGGGGTCATCGGGCTCCAAGGAGGGAACGTAATAAAGATCGGGCTCCCTCAGTTCCAGGTGAGCCTCCATTAGCGGCTCGTTCTGATTCATCGGCTCCATGTTTTCAGTCAAGTATGTTAACGAGCAGCCTACGGCCTTACGCAACGACTCCGTCACAATTTTATCCACGTAATCTACGTAGGCCAGCCACGCTTCATTTTTCTCCCCGGAGATCTCGAAAAGCCGTTTGTTTTCCGCTAATAATTCTTGAATTTGCTCGGCCGCTTCACGAATTTCCGCGTATCGCTTCGACACCTTATCCTTACGATCCTCGAGTGCTAGCAGTGCCGTTTTTCTCCGCTCCCTTCGTTCAATTAGCGGCGTCCTCGTCCACGGCTCCATTATATTCTCGATACTTTGTACATTCGATTGCGCACTCTTCACGCGCTTAGACAACTCCTCGACCAAACCTTTTAATTCCATTATGTAGTCCAAGAGGCCCTCGGAATCCCATCGCAGCTCGTCTTGGCCCCGCTTAATCAATGCATCGATTCGCCCAATTTCCACCTCGATAAGCTTGAATTCCACTTTGCGACAAGTGCGTCGGATTTCATTGTAAAAATTGACGGCGCCGAGGAGAAGGGTTCGGAATTGCCGAAATGTCTCCGACACATCGGCTACCTGGGCAACATATATAAAAAAATTTCCATAAATTCGATGAATTATGAAATAAAGAAAAATATAAATCGATGCGAATGTGCCAAAATAATGTCCGAATGAATACGCACCTCCAAGGCCTCGGCAGGTATATGTTGGTAAGACATTTTTCTTAAGTAGCTCACTTCCTTCAACACGGCAAAGAGTTCGGCATCGAAATTCAACACGAGAATCGACAGTTGATCTCTCTTGAGTAGCGATCGATTTAATCCGACTTTCACTAAATCGGGCACGGTCTTGGCCCAGTCGAGATAAAGGGCCTTCCGCTTATTATCCAAGGCGCCCGTTAACTCATCGAAACGCGCGAGAATATTCTTCCCTTCCTCGCTCCCGACGATCCTGCGGAGGAAAAATTTATCAAAAACCACGGCCACTGGGCAAACGATCATCTGCCGAATAATCGAGCACTTTTAATTTGCGCCTCGACTAACGCCTAGTTAGCACCGCGCAACCAACTTTATCAACAACAACAACAACAACAACAACAACAACAACAACAACAACAACAACAAGCAACAACAACAACAACAACAACAACAACAACAATTATTTCTCTTTCACTCACGGATGCTGCAGAGATTGGAAAGCTTGCATAGGCAAATCGATTCGCAGCTTTAGCATCCTCATAAACTGCAATTGGCTGGCGAGTGGGGGTAAATCGTTCATGGCCTTGCTCGCGCCGCGATTGAATAATGTCTCGGCTACCATCAGCTCGTTGCTCAGCAGATCGAGAATACGACAATAGCGGTTCGTGAATTGTTTGCGTATCACGGGACGATCTAATACGCTGCCAACTATATTGATCAGCTGGAAAGTGTCAATGAAATTTTACTTTTTTTCCGAATTACATCAACGTTGGGGTGAGGGTAGATTGGAGAGTGGAAGTTAAGTCGCGATTACCAATTATTACCGATTATTACCGATTATTACCGATTATTACCGATTATTACCGATTATTACCAATTATTACCAATTATTACCGATGACATTTTGCACATTAATCCGGCCTTTCGCTCATCATTCGTCGCTGTATATATTGTGATTTAAAATTAAGCATTTTAATAAATTACGTGCAATAAGGTAATTATAGAAAAAGAGTATTTATAGCGAACATTTGGATACAGAGTTTCGTTACTTTCCCGATGTATGAAAAATAATTTTCATCGTTACAACTAGAAATTACTTGCCATTGCAATGGACCATCATTTCCGAAGATCTACTCGATCATTATGGCACGAGCGAATAACTTTTATCTATCGAGCATAACATTACCTTCTGACAATTAATATCATTGTCCTCCTTATATTACCATTATTATTGTTATTATGCATGGAAAAACAATAAAAACAACAAATAATTGGTTAAAGAGAGTTTTTCTCGCTATTGTCGCAATCGACTTGTCCCTTTTATTTGCGTTGGCGAGGCCTGCTGCCCAATAACTATTAAACGCATCCTAGTGCCTTGAATACCTTAAACGCGCTCTCCAAATTTCCACAATCGTCGAATGCCTGGCAAAGTATAGCAGCGAGTTTACAATCCAAATCAATAATAGACTCGTTGAATTTCTCGCAATCTTTGACGAATGATTCGTCATCGGGTTCGAGAGCGTCCGTCGCACGGCTCGAGAAGGCCGTGAATAGTTGTTGAAATTCTTTGTACACGGCAACGATGCGCGAGCTCAACGATCTGCCCGTGATACCGCCGATTTCAATTTTTTCCAATTTCGAAAACTCGATGACCGTGTGAAAGAGCCACTCGATGTCGGACAGCCGCTTTAAAAAAGCATTCAGACGCCCAAATACTGCGCTTGGATTGAACGTCCACGATGGCGCATCTTTGTTTAGCGCAGGCATGTTTTTCTGTATGTCGAATTGCCGTTTAAATTCCACGAGCACTTCTGTAAAGCAAAATCTCTGTTTATTAGGATAATCGCGCAATAGGGGAAGAAAAGGAAAAAATAGGAGACAAAAAATTCAGTTTGGTAATAAAATTTGTCTAAAGAGTTTATTCTGCATCAAGATGAAGAAGAAGAGGATGAAGAAGAAGAAGAAGAGGAAGAAAAAGAGGAAGAGGAAGAAAAAGAAGAAGAGGAAGAGGAAGGAGAAGAGGAAGAAGAAGAAGAAGAAGAAGAAGAGGAAGAAGAAGAAGAAGAAGAAGAAGAGGAAGAAGAAGAAGAAGAAGAAGAAGAGGAAGAAGAAGAAGAAGAAGAAGAAGAGGAAGAAGAAGAAGAAGAAGAAGAAGAGGAAGAAGAAGAAGAAGAAGAAGAAGAGGAAGAAGAAGAAGAAGAAGATGATGATGATGATGATGGCAAAGAAGAGAAAAAAATTTATAGCTATAAGCGCAAGCCTAGGCTTTTCTTATTTGGAAACGTAATATTAATAATGCCTCGGACAAGACACAACAATGACAATGTTTAAGTGTCAACTCACGTTTGGAAATCTGCACGTGTTGAAGTGCTTCGTCCACATCGCTTTGGAAAATCAGCGTGGGATCTAAGAATTTTCGGGCCTCCTGAATCAGCAGATTGCAAATTTGTCGCAGTATTATTATGAGCTTGGACGAGCTTCTATAATAATTGGAATTGCTTGATACTAATCCAACCGCATGGATCAAAGTGGCCATTATTGGCTTTGCCTCGGTAAAATCCACTTCCTCCAAGGTCTTGAAGAATTTTCCAAGTGGCGTTAAATACAGGGATATTTCCTTGGCCTCGGCCAGCGCTGACACGACATTGGCAAACAAAGTCCTGAAGCATGGATAATAAGCGCTATCTGTCTTCTCCAAAATGACGGCCATCTTGCGCACTCTTTCTTCCCGAAGTTGATCAAAGATATACCTAAGAAATAGAAAATTCTTTTATCATTTTTTGTCAAACACCTCTCAACGTAACTCTCTCTCTCTCTCTCTCTCTCTCTCTCTCTCTGTATCTCCTTAACTTACCAAACGCTCACTTCTCCTTTAAAGCTCATTCTATCCATTAAGACGAAGTGGGACACGCAAACACCCCTATATGGGCATATCGGTAATAGGATTCTGAATATATAAATGTTAATGCACACCTCAAGTTGGAGAGCCTCGTCGACCAATAGTCCAGCTCGACGTATGGGCTAGGATTCTGGCCATTTTCAAATGCCGCGCTTGATTCGTGGGTTACGACATCGTTAACCAGGTAAGCCCATTTAATAACGACACCCTCGATGGCGCTTTTCAAGTAGAGATCGACCGTCTGCGGGCCTTGAAGTGTTATTAGCCGCTCGACTTGGACGATTCTCTCCAAGCCGGCGGGCATCGGCAGAACCGTCCTCCCGTTTACTTGGCCCTTAACCTACGTGCATCCCACGAACGTGCACTTTTAGCGAGCGAGTTAGGTGGAAAATTGATTAGGAAGGTTGCGCGCAATGTAATACGATACTTGATATAGCGTTCCCCGAAGATTGTGCACATGACGTGAGATATCCTGCACGGCGACGCCGGGAAGCTCCACGTGGTTCTCGACTTTGCAGAGCAGAGGCGCAAAAATATTATCGACGATGGTGGCCAGCTCGTCGACGACGCGGTTGGAGAGGTCGCCCGTAACGACCATCGCCGCACACTCGTCCTTCGTCCTTGGCACCGCATCGATTCTCATTTTTATCGCATAGATACCTCGATTGAAGCGTAAAAAACAAGATCATTTGAACAATCTGATTGATCTTGGCATTTAATTACTCTACTGGATGCTTTTAATAGAGCGATAAATTTATGAAATAACGGACGTTGATATTGCGTGTGTGTTTGTGTCTGTGGGTGTGTGTGTGCGTGCGCGTGCGCGTGCCAGCCTTTTTTTCTTTTTAATTATTTAATTATTTATTTATTTATTTATTTATTTATTTATTTATTTAGCGTAGATTCCTCGTGAAATGCTAATGCTTATTAATTTTTTCGTTCCATTTAATAATACACAAATTAAAGGATTCACGCATATTATTATATCAAGGCATTGGAGAACTGAGCTTATTACTCTCCTTTTAAGATATCTAATGCATAGTTTTTTGTATTATCTCGTTATTAAGTATGATATTACGATGTTCCATATCTTTATTTTACCTGTAAAGTATAAAGTATAAAGCAAAGCGTGAAATAAAGTAATATAAAGTATTAAGTATAAAGTAGCAATTAAAGGATAAAATAAAGTAATGTAAAGTATTGCATAATGCAAGGCAGCTTTGTTTAAAATTGTAATGAATTAAAATAAAGTAATTAAAGTAAAATTAAATTAATGTAAAGCATTATTTCTTATTATCGTTATTTTTATCGCTGTTATTATTATTATAATAAAGTATAATGATAACGATGCATGTTAATGATTGTAAAAATACCAAAGATATTTGCTCAATGCACTTCGTTAAAATTACATTTAATCAAGTAATAATTAGCTGATCCGCTCATAATCGTAATGCAGAAACAAATTTTGCTGTCTCTTATCTCGGTAATAATAATCTATGTAAATGCATTGTAAGAGGATTAAAGAAATGTTCGTTTAGGTGATGCGCGTTAAACTTACATTGGTAAGTCAAAAACTACAATATAATCGTATAACGATCGTTACGTGTCGTTGGTTGCTAGTAAGGATAAATGAAATTGCTTCAGCGATTCGATTACTTGCTAAACTTACCGTACGGTGTAAAAAGCATACCTTTTGTCCGTTGGCAAGGAATAGGAAAGCCACAGGAAGGTACGAGTTGCGCATTTGGCGTTAGCACTATGAAAAGCGCAGCTGGTATCGGATTGTCTAGGAAGTCCAGTACAGCGTTGCGATAGTCTTCCGACATTAGCAATCTTCCCCATTTTTCTGGTTTAAGTTTCAGCGATTTTTGAACAACTGCGCCGAGGTACTCGAGGCGATAATCACCGGCCAAATCCATTTCAGGCGAGTCCACTGCGTGCCATTTTTTTTTTTTTTTTTTTTTTTTTTGATTTTTAAAAATGATAAGTCAAATGTAAAAATGATTTTCTCGTTGAATTATCAGCCTCGCCATATATTCCATTCCACCTGATTTTTTCATTCAGCCTAAGGCCGAATGAAAATTGGTTTGATTACGTACACTAGGTAGGAAGAGCCGAGTGTCAGGTTGATTAGCAATGCGATTCAGTCGATCATTCTCGAATTAAGCCGGTAATCACGAATGAGCCAACAAGGAATCTTTCAAAACTATCGGCAGACCTATGAATACATAGACAGTCACTACTAAAATCACGAGCTAATAAAAACTGGCGCAACTAATGCCACAACGTCAATCCAACAACCGCCGTATGCCTCCCGACGTGGATTTGGCTCATATTCGTTGATTACATGCCGCTGTAATGTCACGAGCGCAGGAGAGAATCCGGGGAGAGGGACAGAAGCGAAGCCGCACGGAAATACTCAGGCAACGAGCGCATGTATTTTGCACGCGATCATTCGCATTGTACTGGCAGGCACCATGTCGTACCACAGTCCTTTCAGTTCATTTTCGATCCTCTCGCATCCTCGTGGCACACGACACATCGGGGTTGCTTGGTGCAAAGCAGTATCCGCCCAGCCTTTTCCCGCCCGCCCAGTCAAATTCAATCGACAATTTCAGCCGTCTATCGTAGCAGCACTTTACTCCCCCCAATCGTCTCCGCAGCATCTCACCGAGGATATCACTCTCTCACTCACTCGCTGTTCTTTGAGCCGGGGAGAGTCGCGCGTACATTCACTGGCAAGAACAAAATTATGCGAATCATCATGTGAAACTGTGATCATGTGAGAAAGACACGACTTTGCGAATGTAAATCTATTATCGGAGGCAGTGCGGCATTACAACGAAATCCAGAGACCTCAAAGCTGGTCAGATAATAATTTTAATTAAGAGTTGCACGTAGTTGAGCTGTTGTTGCACCTTGTGGGCTTAACGACGAGTGCACGCACAAACGAAAGAATTCCATTTCTGCTTTTCTATTTGTATTTTTTCCCACTTTACACTTGGCATTTCGATCAAATTTGGACGAATCGCTCGATTGATTATGGGACGGAAAATTATTATTTACGAAATCAGAGAAAATTGCAAGTAATTCCGTAGGTTTTGTAGTAACGGTGAGAAAATCTCGGAAGCAAATAAATCATTCGTCATTTTATCCATATAATGGAAAATAATTGAATTATAATTGAAATGTAATTGAAAATTGTCGGGCTCTCTGCTTAGACGACAGTCGCGGCATTCGGCCAAAATATTTTATTCGCGTTTTTATTGAATTTACAATTTTTATCATCGAAGCATCGCGATAGTCAGAGATGCAATCCAAATGTTTAGACGAGCTAGCCCATTTGTTATTTACAATATTAATTAAGTGCCAGCATTATATATATATATATATATATATATATATATATATATATTTATACGTGGGATTCTTATATATGTGTGTTCGGTGCATGGCATTTAGCGTCTACACGGTAATGGGAGAGTAGATGTTAGCGTTACCAAAAGCATGCACCCGAGGCCAAACAGTCCAGGCTGTTTCTCCATTTCCAGACATTTTATGACTTTAATTTAAGGGCACCGGCTGTAGGGAGGGAGACAACTACCTGAAAATTCCAGTTTTGGTTACACGCGAAATCTAGGGGACATTTTCGTGCGTGAATTATTATTTGCCAAGTTTATTTTGCCTAAATTGTTATGCGTGTTATTATGTGAAAATTCCTTCCACGAAAATTCGATAAAAATGTTTAACATAGTGGGAATAGTAAGGGATTTGTAAGTAAAGTAGGCGGGAGAATGCGGGATTAAATTAGACGGTGAAGTTCCTTGGAATTGCAGCCTCATTCGAGCTTCGATTACTATCATTGCCATCTCTCTCCGAGCCATTCGCATTTATTCAACATTTATTAATAATGAGAGAAAAATTATTATAAGCTCTTAAGTAGTTTCGACATTGCTTGGCAATTTTTCAAAAGCTGCGGGTTATTGGAAGGCATTCGACGTTGACATTCGAAGCATTTATCGACCGTCGACTTTTTACTTTAGCGAAGATTTCACGACAAATTTCTTATCGTTAAAATCGATTATTTATTTATCCATAATTCTTTAGCAAAATACATCAATAATTTTACTTAATGATTTGATTGTGTCACGAGTCTCTTTATCAATTATATTGAGAGCTAGGCACACGTTTATCGATACATAAATACACATACACTCACTGATTTACAATTAGAAAAAGTTTTTTTTTTGTACGTCCAAATAAATTTCCATGTAATAAATAATTAAAATATTTTGATACAAATAACGACTGAAACATAATTTTTTAGTGGCAGAGAAAATACATGTGAGTGATCTCACATTTTTTAAAACTCGAACGAATACTCGAATAAAGAAGTGGCTTAGGAAAAAAAAAATTATTTTCTCCCCCCCCCCCACCAAAAGCATGTGATACGATATGTCGACTGAAATTTCTCGCTTTAAGATGTAATGCCGTTATATTTTATTATCTAGTGGTAACTCAGAGTTATTTTTGAACAAGTACTTTTCGATTAGTGGAAATAATATTTCAGCCAAGACTTTTTGATCAAGGATTCCAAACGAGTGCCACGCTACTCAGCTTCTAGAAAAATGTAATCTTGGCTCGGCTAATAAAGTTAATTTCCGGCACGAGTAGCCTTCGTATAAATTGGAACCCTCTGAGAATACAGGAACATTAACTTTCTTACTTTCTTATAGAGATTATCGTTTCACCGAATACCTTCGAGTATATAAAAAATGAATTATCTATGAGGTAGAAGATTTGATTTTAGGGTTGAGAAATTATGAAATATACGATGTGCAATGGATAAATAAATGATTAATATGGTATTTCGAAATATAGATTAGCGAATTAAATATTAAAACATTTAAAATATTGAAATTCACACGAGCATTAGTAATTTTATCTCAATACGTTGGAAAGAAAAGTAATGATTTATTACGTAAAGTTAAGGATGATTAAGTGAATTTTAGTAAAAACTAGTAATTAAGTAAGTAAATTGGGCAATAAATTGATAATATTTTATGCTTAAAATGAAAGAGGAGATTATTTCATAAATAATTTATTCTCTATTTTGGTTGTAATTCCAAAGGAATTTTATATTAAACAACAGCATTGATTGACGATAATAGCAAAGGAAACTTTTAAAAATTAAATTTTTTTGTTCTTAGTTTACTTAAAATTTAATTTTAAAATTTTTTCATCAAACTCTCTGCCATTTACGCAATTAATGTTTTTATTAATAGACCAGAAGCTTCGATTGCAATTTTTCATACAAAATTTTATAGACTAAACTTACATGCATAAGGATATGTTAAAACAATCGTGTGGTCGTTAAGAGTATCGAGAAGAAAAAATTGTTTAAACATATTTTTCATAAATTACGTTAGATTAATTGAGTATTGTAATGAATTAATTAAGTATTGTCTTTTAAAGTCATATCATTCTAATTAATGAATCCAAATGTTAAGCAACTTATTTACATTTTTAAATAATTTAACGTCTCGAGTTTCTATTATTATTATTATTATTATTATTATTATTATTATTATTATTATTATTATTATTACCTTTTATTCTGAAAAGTAATTCCTATGGTTTAGAGTTTACTTTCAACATAAAACCCTATAAGGTATATATTTATATATTTCTATATGAGTTTACAATATTTTAAGCAAGCATTAAAATAGAAAAGTTTATTAAAGTGCGTGTAACGACAAATTTAATCGCGGTAATTCTACAAGTCTGAGTAATATGAGCTTAATGGCGGACATCACATAGGAATAAGATGTATTAAAAGCGAAATTTCAAAATTCTATTTGATACTACATCATTTATTTTATAACTTCCTGGCATTCGAGTGCGTTTGAATATATATATATATATATATATATATTCGTAATTCCGACACACTGTCTATTAATTCAATGCGAACACGTACGTTCGAATATACATACGTAAATATATATATATATATATATAAGTGCTATATAAGAAGGAAAAGAATAAAAGTGTGCGCGAAAGAGAGAGCAGTGTGTAAACGTAATTTGATAGAGAAAGACAAAGTTAATTCCACTTGAGTAGCGGAATATTTCCTCTTGGTTTTTATGCAACTCCTTCAGTCGGGTATTTTCTTTTTCTCTCGTTGTAGCGACGTTCGAACGTGCGGAGGACGTGGGTGTCGAGGCCAACAGAATGTCTGGAAAATTTTCAGAGTGCGCGCTTCGCGAAAGCTTTCAACAGGTTAGCTTCTTTTTCCGTCAATTTTGACTCACTTTCTCATTGCATGTAAGCTCCTGTCCCTCTTTTGCCAAAAGTTTTTAAGATTCTCTCTTTTCATCGCAGTACAATATAAAGTAGACATACCCCGAGCGCCCTTTACAGAAATACATTTGGTGGAACTATGTAGATAAGAGGGAGAAAAAATAATGAATAGCCGCACAAAAAATTCGTAATAAAACCATACTTTTATTCGAGTTCCATTGACTCGAGACTTTCTTAAGAGTCAATGATAGCGAGGCTTACGCGAATCATAAAAATTGGATCGATTTTTAGGAAGAAACGAGAGCGCGCCACTGCAATTGGATATTTCAATTTTTTCAAAAAGCCCATTTGTTCAACCATCCGTTGTTGCGTGTATGAGAGAAATTTCAAGTTAAGTCGCCTCCAAGTGCATTCGTCGTAGAGAATAATATTGGAGCATAAAATATTGAGAGTCAACCTGGTCGATAAATAAGCACTAATTAAGTCAAAATCGATAATGTAATTTCTGAAGCCAAAGAGTATTGTGGTGATGTGAAAATCACAATAAATGCATTTCAATCGACCATCTTTGCATTTATTTTACCTCTACCAGCGAACGTAGTATCAATGTATATTGTAAGGAAAGCAATTCGTAAAAACAAATTATAAAATTTATATATTTGACATCTTAAAGCCTCCAAAACACACGCACTTAACAAACTCCCCAATGATAATAATCTAGCCGGCCTCATCCCATCTCGCTCTACAATTTGTCAAATATAAAACTTACGAGCAAACAAATAAGCAAATAAATAAAAAAATTCTCAACTAGATGGGCAAAAGCCTTGACTTGCGAAATATAATATAATAGTTAAATAACAAGCCCTACCGTACATCATCCACGCAGCGTGGGAGCTAACCATTTTAAATAAAGGGCGAGGAAAGCCGTGACACTCGCCTCCCTCCACCCGACCTCTAAAGGGACCACTTCTCACCCTCTAAACTCAACTACAAACTAGTTTTCTGCTTATCGATGAATTTCGCAATATGCCTACATACCCGTCTGGGTCTTAAGTATGTTGTTCATCTCGTCTTGAGGCTCGTCCTCCTCGGGGGATGCCCCTCGCGAATCCATCATCGATCGCAGGAGCTTTTGGAATTCCTCGAGCTTGTCGGCATCCCCGTTTTTACACAGCAGCGGCAGTGGCTTCACATCCTCCATCGGCCCCGACGTCGTAACGCTTTCTCCGCTACTCTCGGAATCCGACATTCTGCAGCTTTCCTCTTTCACCGCTCCCCTGCAAAATCATGCTCGCGATAATATTCGCATTTGACGGCTCTCGTGCCGAGCCGAATTTCCTTTCCATTCCAAATCGCTCCGATTGTTCTAAATGTTTTACGATGCTTCGGGCGTAAATTTAGCTTTCATCGCGAGCGCTACGTGCGACTGAAAGCTGCGCTTTTTCCCACATTGACGTAATTCCCTTGTAAAAGCGACTCGATACTACGCTATCGAAATAAATGATTAGCTTTCCATTTTAGACTTTTAACATTTTGGGGATGTATGTGGAGAGAAGGAGGTGGAGGAGAAGGAGGAGGAAGAGGAGGAGAAGGAGGGGGCGTTGGTTTGGTTTATAGAGGTTACTTCGTTCCGTCTGTATTTTTGGAAAATTTGCGCATCGAGAGTTTGCGGTGTTTTTCTTTCTCATTTTTTTTCTTTCTTTTTTGTTTTTCTCATCATCGCCTATAATATATCTTTGAAGTAGACTCGTGCACTGATTGATGAAGCATTTGAGTTGTGAGATTTTCAATAATGTTTAATATCAATGATTAATGCTTTTTTCAATGCATTTGAATATAGAGCCTCGTGGTTCTGTAGAGCTAGCGATTATGTATATGATGGGAGATTAATTATTTATATATAGTGTTTACGGCTTAGGAATCCCGTGATAAGCATTATCTGTATTTTTGCATTTGACGATTATTCAATTGATGGTAATACTAAATAGTCGAATAATTGCGGAATAAATCGAGAAAATGCGAGTACATATGAATTTAACTCGATCTTCGTGACGGCAATTGAATTGCTCATTTCAGTTTCAAGTCTCGATGGAAGAATAATATTTTTTATTATTCTAAGCATCTAGTTCCGATGGAAAATATGAGCAGATTTTTCTTTTTAGTTTTTTGTCTTGTTCGGCTTTGTTTGGAGCTAAATACAAACGTAATTACCGACTTTTATTGCCTAAACGAGATTGTTTTATGAAATGCAACGACACATCTATAAATTTATTGGTTTTTTATTTGGTCATTTATTGGTACTTTCACTGCTCTATTACTTAAACTTTAACGATCAAATAATACGAAGACATTCTAGAGAAAAAGAAGAAAAAAAATTATAAAACATATAAGTAAATAATAATCCTATAATCGATAAATTCACATGTTAAATTATGGCTTACAATCATATACTAAAATAATAAACAAAACCTTTAATAATAATTTCTTAAGGTTTAAAATTGAAAAATATTTTAAAACTAATAATACACGGTTAATCATAATTTATTTTTACCATGACTTTACTCTCTTTTAGGCAACTCGAGATTTGTAGTTTAATGAAAATAGACATTTTAATTAATTAAATCGACCATTAGTTTTGCTTTTCTTCGTCTTGTTTTTCTTTCTCCTTGATTTTTTATAATAATTTCTGCGTGTATAAAAATAGGCGAGGCACTATTATAATTAAAAAATTACGTTGAGTCAGCTCCCTAACATCATCGAGTGCACAATAGTTGTAAGCTAATTTCTTATAATTTCGCCCGATATGTCTGATTAAATTTCATTTGTCTAGTCAGTTTTGTAGTTTTGTCCATTTTCACAAACGAATGGAAAGTACTAGCAATTCAATTTTGCGACATCATTATAATACCCCACGAGACGTTTCATCACAAAAATATAATAATGTAAGTAGAGGTACAAAGTTGATGGGTGCAAGTACATTTACTAGGTAGTCCGACAAGTTTGTAAAAGAGATAAGCCAAAGTGCGCAAACACGAAATTCAGCCATTTGCATTCATATCAAGATATTTTACGATCGCGACAGTCGTTGCTTAGTACCTCAATATTCCAATATTACCTGACACCGACTACCTACCTTCTGTCTTTCAATTCCATTCTTTCTGGCACTTCAATACCCTTCCTTACGTATGTTTTTTAAGCTCTATCAGGCCGTAAGTATAAAGATAAAAAGGCGGAGAGAGATAGAGAGAGAGAGAGAGAGAGAGAGAGAGAGAGAGAGAGAGAGTGAGTGAGTGAGTGAGAGAGTGAGTGAATGAGTGAGACGGTGCGAAAGAGATACGGGGAGGGGGGGATGGAGAATTTGGAAAGAGCCTTACGAAAAGCTTCGCGAATCGAAAATCTGCGCCGACGTTGCACGACTTGACGCGGCAACTTTCTTCCTTTCGCTTTTGTTTCCCATAAGCCTCCCGCAGTCTTTTCTCTAAGTTTCAACCCTCGAGCCTTCTTTTGCTCTCATCCTTACATTGTACAATTACGCGTTATGCAGACGAGTCATTGTGATATCTCTTATTTGCTTTCTGTTACAGCGTAGTTTCGCCTCCAAAAGCCGTCTCTAAAACTCTACTCCATCTTTCGTTATTTTCCATTGAAACTTTAATTCGTCTAATTAAAGCGAGACGTTTACACAAATTATTATACCGTTGAGAAAGATAAAAGCAGAACAAATTGTCTCGGACTTGACAAATATGGTTAACGCAAAATCGAAAATTGCTTCCTTCTGGCTATTTATCAAGTAATATTAGTTTGCTTGTTTATAATTTTCAAATTTATTCCCATATCTTTTCATTATTGGAATAACTTTATCGGCATATCTGTCATTCTACATTTTAGGTTTCGGATTACTCGAGTACTTTTTTCATTATAAAACTACAAATCCTTAAATTTAAAATTCTCTCTCTATCTCTCTCTCTCTCTCTCTCTCTCTCTCTCTCTCTCTATCTCTCTCTTTCTGTATTCATGGAAAATTCCAATTAGATGGTAGCTAATATTAGAAATTGTGATATACAACATTTTTTATTTTTCTTAACGAACTAATAAAGATATGAATCATGTTTGCATATGTTATATTCAATTTCATTCAGACATTGCATATTCTTGTTATCAACTAGAAGCGAAGATAGAATTGAGCCTTGCAAAACTGAAATATCAAATGTAAGCTTTAAAATTTTTATTTGTAATATTAATCTTATTATATATAAAATCATGAAGAAAAAGTTTTCTTATATTACCCCACCCCCTTCAAAAAACAAAAACAAAAACAAAATAATAAACTGAAAAAATATAAGCTGAAAATATATTGAATATGTATATATTAAATGCGAAAATGAAAATAAAGAAAAGATTTAGTACTTTTAATTTTCTAAATTTATTCCTTCGTTAGTATTTTTTTATTGTAAGGAAACGTTCGAATTGGTTTAATCAGAAAAGATTACATTTTTATAAACGAGGCCTCAAAATTTACGCTTGATATATTCACTTGAAAGGACTCGTTCACCCTTCCAAGTCTTTTCTTCGCGGATAAAAAGAAAAAAAAGACGAAGAAAGAAGAAGACACCAATTTATAGTTTGCTTTAGCATATTTTAAAATAAATCAAATTAATTCCGTATGTTTTAAATACATAAAAATATATTTAAACGTATATTTATGTGATTATTTATGAATTGTTTTTATGAAAAAAAAAAAAAAAAAGAATTATCTACAGATATTAACTAATAGGTTTTTTTTTTAATAATATAAATATTTTACGGCTAAACTGTTGAGTAGAAACTGAGCAAGAAACTTGTTTTGATAAAAAAATTTTGGTATTGTCTTTTAATTTAATTTTTTATTCCATTATTTTGTTTTCAAAATTAGATATTTAAAACCTTTTAATTATCAAATGATTCTTTATTCTGTTCATTTATACACCAATAATAATAACAATAGCCATAATAATCATAATAATTCAATATAAAATTTATATATGAAAATTGTGCAGATTGGATTGTTCGTATTGAGAAACTTTCAATGAGGCTAATGATGAAATAATTACTTCACTAGTCTTGAGGAATATTGGACAATTTGCTTCAAAATATTGAAAAATCGATCAGAAAAGAGCTTAATATTATTTTAAATAGCAATCTTGGAAATATTGAAGAATTAGAGTGAGCTTAAAAATTGGGAAAAATTTTTCATAACTCGCGCATGATTACGATTTTTCAATAAGCAATTCTCGCACATGCTCAGCTAAAAAATATGAAGTGGAAATATTTCCTGTAAATTTATTGATATTTTCAGAAACCCTAATTGCGATTCATATTACGTATACTTTAATGGCAAAATTAATCGTATAATATATCAAGAATCTTCTAAAATGTTTGCATAATTAATCCAAGAGACTAAGATTCTCTTCCAATGTTATTTGAAAATATCGAAGAATTCGTTTCATCTTTTTAATAAAATTTAGTTGAAAACAAGTTTTTTAATTTGTTTAAAAACTAACGGATGAATTGCCTTATACGTATACCAATATAACCTATATTTTCACCATCTCTTGCATCTTTCATAATAAAAAGTTGCAACTGAAAAAAATTTCCTTAAATAATCAAAATTTATTGTTAATGCACAGAAAGTATAGTCCTCTCCCTTTGCCAATCTCTCTTGCAGATTTCTCAAGCCCTTACTCGCCTCCATTAAAAACGACCTTCGAAACCAAACATATTCAAACTTTAGCGCTTCCTACTTTGGACTTCCTAGCAACCGTTGCCCTGAACACCTCACCAAGGCCTGATCAACTTTACTTTTTTCCTTTCTTCTTTCTTAATAGAATTAACAAACTTCCCTATTGATTACATAAAACTCTATTACAAAAATATACACCAAATTCCAAAAGCACGGAGGCCTTAACGACTTATATACCACCGTCAAATTTTATCCCCCCCCCGCCCCCTACCCCCTATCCCCTGCCCCCTACCCCCTCCCCCAT